TTCCCAGGTCAATTAACAAACGCAGGGTAATCACCCCCAGCTGTGCCCAGAAGGCCCTCTTTCCCTCTGGTGAGTCTGTCAGGCTGACAGCTAACACTAACCATGATGTGGCTGGGTTCCAAAAGTCTTAATTAGCTGAAATAGGAGGCTGAAGCATAAATAAAATTTAATAAAATTAAGTATCCCATCAATTAACAAGCTAATATTAAGATTTTATCAGTTGATTAGGCAGTGTGCATCTTGACATGTTTCTGAGGCACAAAAGCTTGAGTTAACAGGATGAGAAATTTAGTAACAACGTTAATATCGTATTTTGACCAAACTGGAGCCAGAACAAGAACCACTGTTTGGGGTTATATCCTGGTCATGCCTGAAACACTGAACAGAAAGCAGACACCTCGCTTTCAGAGATGAACAACCAGGTCCCCAGAAGTGGTAGGACATCCTTGAAGACTTCCGTGTGCCACAGACATTTAAATATACTCTTCAGGGAATAATGGCAGGTACGTGAAAGGTAAGTATTGTCTGTGTGTCTGTTTCTCGAGGGCAGAGGCAGGGGGAGTGCTGCAAAGACGCAGGTTCCAAAGCCTTGGTTTGGAGCTGGACCTGAGGCTGAGGGTTGCCTTCACAAGAAGCACTCTCCTTTTCTTCGGTGGTCTTTGGTCTAAGTTTGGCTTTTCAGGTTTCAGGGTGTGGATGGAGGGATGCTGCTATGCTGCGTTGAGAGACAGAGTAAGACCCGAGAGCTGGGGGACACCACATTTGGGTAAAGCCCTCACCATGTATACAAACCTGGGTTTGATTCCCAGTGCCCACACTGAGAGCTGCAAGTGATGCCATACACGTGTGACCCTAGTTCAGGGAAGGGAGAAACAGGAGGCTCCCTAGGTCTTAACGGCCTGCCAGTCTGGCCTACTTGGAAGGTTCTGGGCCAATGAGAGAACCTGTCCTGAAACAATATGGATAGCTCCTGAGGGATGACTCTTAGAGTCATCTCCAACCTGCATGGGAGCCAACCCCGGGCTCAAAATCATGAGAACTGACAACCATTCTTTCTTTATCTTGGTAACTGCGGCACAGATCTCATTGGAGATCTTCTTCTTCTTCTTCATCTTCTTCTTCTTCTTCTTCTTCTTCTTCTTCTTCTCCTCCTCCTCCTCCTCCTCCTCCTCCTCTTCCTCCTCCTCCTCCTCCTCTCTCTTTAACATTTGTCTAATATTTGTTCATATTTTGCCTTGGGCAATAGTAAAGAAGACAGAACTAGCTAAATTGTTCTGGAAGAATCTGTTTCACTGAAGTTGCTGTGCTCCTTTATATTATACTGTGAACATTATATATTATACTAGTAGTAGTCTGGTAAATTCTGAATGGTCTTCAGAAAGGAGTGATTGGCTTTGTCATCATTCATCCAAACGCTGACTCCAGGTCTGTCTTTGGACATAAGAATAAATTGTAAACAAACAAACAAACAAAAAAGCCGGGAGGTGGTAGCACATGCTTTTAATCCCAGCACTAGGAAGGCAGAGGCAGGAGGATCTCTGTGAGTTCGAGGCCAGCCTGGTCTACAAGAGCTAGTTTCCAGTACAGGCTCCAAAACTACAAAGAAACACTATTTTGAAAAAACAAAACAAAACAAAACAAACAAACAAGAATAACTTGCATGTAGAAAGAGTTAACATATAAAGCTAAGATTAGGTTTCAAAAATGAGAGCAAGCCTGAGCCTGCCTATGCTGTAGCCTCAGCGACCCTGGGAGGAAGGATGCTGAGGCTGGGCAGCAGTTGGGGCTTGGAGAAGTTGTGAACATTAGCCACCTCCACCTTCGAAAGCCTCTCAAGTCCAAACAGGATTGACTACGAAGGTTCAGGCTTCATGTTTCTGTGTTTCCTGTATGATAGTGTTGCCTCCTTTTGTTACAATGTAAATTGAGTTCAGGGAAGTCTATCTTTGCATTCTTTAGCTTTTAGGTAACCTACACACTCCATGAGTGACAGAATATTTTGCAATCTCTATACTGTATTATCTATTTTTTTTTCCTTTTCTCAAGACAGTGTTTCTCTGTGTAACAGCTCTGCTGTTCTGGATCTCCATGTGTAGACCAGGGTAATCTCGAACTCACAGAGATCCACCTGCCTATGCTGGAATGAAAGGTCTGATCCACCACTGCCAGGTTTGTGTTATGAGGCTCGTGCGATCATTTTAATTTCATAGCATCTTCATTCAGATGTTATTTATTTGATTTAAATAAAACCTAAACTCTTTGGGAGTAGAGTCTTAACTGTCAGCATGGTTTCATGACTTGAGATGCAGGGCTGGTGGCTCAGGTTGCTGACATGGGGTAGTGGATATCATCACTCTAGATTGAGGCCCCTCTTTCCATTTCTAGAAACATGACTCGGGGCCCAGTCTTCATCATTTCCCAAGTAGGTTCAGAATATGTCTCTGACTCAAGCTTTGTTCTCTATCCTGCTGTGAAAACAATCAACCTTGAAACCCATTTCAATCAGTTCATGCCTCAGTAATCCCAATGTTTCCCACTGTATGAAAGCTAAGTCCTCAGTGGTCAGGAGCCCGGGATCAAAAGTCCCTCTTTTTCTTTGAAGCTTCCAATTTTCTGTCTTGTTAATACCTCTCGGAGAGACAGCTTCTTTCACTCTTCCATTCATTTGCTCGCTAATTCAAAGAGGAATTAATATTTATTTGTTGTATCAGGTACTGAAGGTTATGATTTTAGCAGGAAACAATGGCACAATTTCAACAGGAAATTCAGGTGTAGGGGATCTTGCCTGTGGCTATGACGACCATGTTTTTCCTTATTCACTGTTTGCTACAGTTTGCCAGCGTCTACTATGTTTCTTTTCCAGTGTTAAACCTGTTTCAGAGGCTGGGCTAAGAAGAAGGCTAAGCACCGAGAGCACACCTGTGGACATGGCCGTTAGGTTTGTGCATCATTGTGCACTGATTCTTGGGAGAGGCAGGATTTAAGACAAGTCCTTATCTCTGACTGGCCTTGGACTGAGCCTGCAGAGGGCTGCAGTTTTTAGGGAGGTGACTCTTCTTAATAAAGAGAAATCCAGTCAGTCTGTTGGAAGAAATAGGTAGAACTAGGTTTGTTCTCTTAATTTTTCTCGTCTACTTTGAACTTTTTTGCCAAGCCTGTCCTTTAATTCCTGGATTTCACCTTTCTCCCTCTGAAGTTTGCTCATTTATCTCGTCCTTCAAATTCTCCCACACACTTTATAATCAATATATTGAAGAAACAAAGGGGGGCTCTATAGTCAAAGGACAGTTCCAGGCTGAAGCAGAGAAGACGAACATGACTCAGCCAAGTGGAAGAGATATAAACAACTGATGAGCAATATGAGAACCGGAAATAATTTTGGAGGAAAGAACTGTGGACTGGAGGCTGGGTAAAGGCAAGAGCTTTGGGTGGGAACTGTGAGGAGTAAGATCACCTTGGGCAAAGGGAAAGAAGGACATGTAGGGTCAGAAGTGTCTTTGGGAGCCAGGGAAGGTAAGTGAAGCTGGAAGGCATGGCTAGGGGAGGAGGGAGAAGGCACTGACCCGAACGCAGAATGCAGGGCTGGAGCCTGAAACATTGGAAATGAGCTCTGTGGGCACCGAGGAACCCACTGCCTTTAAGGCAGGGTTCTCTTCCAGATAGGGCCAGGTCTAGGACTGGAACTATATTTCAGAACGATGGATTCCATAGCCTCCAGGGACATCTGCATGAAAGGGTTGAGCTTGGTTATATTCACTATCTTAAAAATAAAAAAGAATTACAAATTCCACCGGGGAAAGAGCTGTTTCTTAGGGTTCATGTGTCCTTGGGTTTTAATAAGGTCGTATTTACTGTTATATTTTAAGCTAATGAACATGATAGATCCTTTTTGGTCACTGTAGAACAGTTTAATAGTAGATGCTGGATGGAGTTATTCAGAATACCTAAGTAATAGAGAAGGAGAGTTGCAAGTTAATGTTCCTGCTTCCAGAAACCCTTTCTATTTGTGGAGTGGGATGCCACAGCTCTCTTAACCTTCGACAGAGCCCACGAAACAGGAATATATTGCATATTTAATTAATACACAGCCGACAGCTATTGAGTCCTTTTGTATTTGACACATAAAATCCAGATAAACAACAAGAAAAAGTCTTCAGGGCCCGCCAGACAGCGTGTAAGGGCATTTGCTCTCCAAGCCTGACAACCAGAGTTGGATACCCAGACCCATGTGAGGTGGGCAGAACTGTTTCAAGCTTCTCACCCCCACAGATGCCATGGCGCCTGTGTACCTGAAGTCACACACACATCCGCTCATGCGACAGAAATAAAGTATGCGCAAACTAGGTATTACTGGAAACCAAAAAGAAGAATCTTAGCACGCGGGAGGCAGAGGCAGGCAGATCTCTGTGAGTTCAAGGCCAGCCTGGTCTACAAAGCTAGTTCCAGGACAGGCTCCAAAGCTACACAGAGAAACCCTGCCTCAAAAAACAAAACAAAACAAAACAAAACAGAACAGAAGAACAAAACAAACAAAAGAGAGTAATGCTCATAGCTGGTACCGAAAGGGAAAATAGACATTTAAATTTTGATAGCATAAAGTTTGCCCACGCTATTAGCCACATGATCAGAATGCTGTGGCAAATTTAAGGAGTACAAATCCCTGAAAGATTCCTCCGGGGATTACAAATGAAAAAGGAATTATGTGTTCTAGGTGAAACTTACAAGTCAGCTTGAAAAATTACTGAGCGCATTTATAGTCATGTTTCCGCCATCAGCACCTCCTCCCGAGTATCCTAACTCCCTTCAGTTCAGACTTCTCTATCCTGCGGAACCAAACTGAGCCGGTGAGTAGTCAGGCCTGGCTTTGGGGAAAGGGAGGCCTGGCCAAGCTACGGTGAGCCTGCAATTGTGACTGCGTGTGTAGTCGGAGGCGTACGGCAGTGGGCGGGCCCCGAATCCCCATGTGGTCCCGACATCATTGACATGGCGGAATCCCCCATCAAACCCTCCTGGTAGTTATTTGAGCAGCGGCGGCGGCCCGAGGAGGCGGCGGAGAGCAGCGGCGGCAGCGGCGGCAGCGGCGCAGGGGGCGGCGGGGATCCCGCGGACGGCTGGCTGGGACGGGCGCCTGGAGCCCCGTTTCAGCCCGAGGGGAGGTAAGGCGTGCGGGAGCGGCGGGCTGCCTGGGGACGTGCCACCCACGGTCGCTCTCGGGTCTCCGCGCTTCGGAGCCCGGGCCGGACACCGAGTCCGCCCGAGTGCGCTGCTGGCCCCGGAGCGCTCCGGGATGCCCGAGGAAAACTTGGCTGCGGAGTCCCGGTCGCCCCGCGACCGCTCGGCTACCCCAAGCTCCCGGCCGAGTAGGGGGCGGCCCCGCCTGCCCCCCACTCGCCCCCGCTCGCCGTGGAAGAAAGCGGAGGATGCGGGACGCGGAGCTCCCCTCCTCCCCGGCCCGTCGCTCCGAGGAGGAATCCGCTCCCCCGCCCAGATCCCCGCGGCAGGACCGCTGCCCGGGAGGGGGAGGGCGCGCGGCCAGGCCGTGGAATCTTCGACGTGTCACTTTGGGAGGCTGTAGATTTCCATATGGTGGAGGGAGGAGGGCGTGAGTGCGCTCGGAGCTGGGAGTCGGGGGCGCCTTTGCCCCCTCGGGGGCGCCGGGCTGCGACCCGGGACCCGGGATGCTTCCCGGGAGGGACCCTGGACGACCGGTCGCCCCCGCCCCCGCCAGGGCCTCTTGGGGACACTCCCCGCCCGCCGCTGGCCACCTCTGCGCGCCACGTCCTCCCTCCCCGTCCTGCCCCCTGGGCTCCCCCCGGGCTAGGGGCGGGAACCGGCGGCCGCGGCTGGACTCGGCGAGCCAGGCGGCTGCAGGCTCGGGCGGGGGAGCGGGGCGCGGCGGGAAGCAGAGGACGACCCGGTGCGTGTGGGCCAGCGGAGCGCGGGTCAGTCGGTCAGCCTCGAGGGGCGCCCCTGTCGGGGGTGGGGCGGCCGGGAGACGGAGCGGGTGGAATCCGCTCCCTGAGGCGGCGGGCGGGCTGGGCGGGCCGCGGGGACCGTCTGGTTCAGATGGCAGGCAAGGACCGGCTGCCATGGGAAGGGCCTGTCACTCCTCGCGGAAAGCGGGGCCCGGGGCCGTGCCCGCCTGGAGTTCACCACGTAGGGCCGCGGGAGCCCCGGGGACTCTGCGGCCGTCCCGGGAGACCTGGCTGGGCCGCCGGGCGGCGCCGCTGGCCGGGAGCCTTCCCGGAGTGAGTGGCTGGGCTTGGAGATTTTTCGAATCTCGGCTCCCACCCGGCGATTCCAGACTAAGGAAGCACTGGCATTTTATCCAGACAGTGCCGATTGCAGACTTCCTTAAAAGTTACAACTTTTTATTTTCTTTTCTCGCAGGCCCAGCGTTTTCTTTAAACAAAATGTAGATTTTGGCCGCTATGAGGCTGACGCTGGGGCCAAAAATGCACACGTTTATCTCCATCCAGACTAGTCCCCCTCCCCCTCTCCCCTCCCTGGCTTAATCATATTTTGGAACTGGTGAGGGCTTTGTTGGGTAGCCACCCTTGATGCTTGTCTGTTTATTTTTTAATGTGCAGCTAATTTGATTTGAATTTCCTCCAGTTTTCAGGCCTTACTAGGAAAAGCTGGGGGAGAAGGAATATGCCACTTTCTTTTCTTTTCTTTTTTTTTTTTCTCCTTTTTTATAAATGTGGCAAGAGGTGGGGCATTGGGAAAGGGGAGGCACCGTGGTTATGGCAGAGAGTCAGTAGGAACAGACAGACCCGGAAGAAAAGGAATCCGTTCTGGAATAACATTCTTTTTAAAACAACAACAACAAAACAAAACAAAACAAAACAAAATTCAGGCTTTGAGCAAAAATTCACTGCTCTGTTCGTATTTGAGTCCCCGGGCCTCCTGCACCTCAAAGTTAGCCTGGGTCCGGGAACTTGAGCGATGCCACAGAGTCCACAGCAGCTCTGACCTGGGTTTGTGACTTTTGGGGGGGCTGTTGCTTCACTCCTCTTCGGAGGCTGACTCTGGATGCAGTAAAGACTGGTTGCAGTTAATTTCCTGGCTCCCCAGGAGCAGCTGTTGAAGAGGGTAAAGGCTCTCTGGGCATGCTTCTGGCTGGAACTGCACAGTTCTCAACAGCAGTTCTTTTTTGCTGAGATCCTGGCCTGGCTAAAAAAATGAAGCATAGTTAATTGATAATTGTTTTTTTTTAAAGGAATTGCTGTCCTAATATTGTTTTTAAAACCACATGTGCTTTTTAAGCATTTTGGTTTGAATGCTTATGAGGGAAAACATTTGTTTGACAAGATAGTGTTCCTTGAGGATCTCTTAAAATTTTGAGATTCTGGGGTGGGGGCTTGCAGTATCTGATGACAGTATATACGGTTTCAGAAGGACATACTGGTAATCTTTTAAGACCCTTAAAAGTAGCTGTCTTTAGAGCATTGGCTGGATGGAGGGGGCTTCTGGAGGAATGTTGAGAGTGGGCACTAGGAACTGGCTAGCTGTTTATTTCCCCGGCATTTGTGCCCTTTCTGCTCAACTCTTAAAACTTCCCAAACTTCTCAGGTTAGGAGAATGATCCATAGGGCAGGGAAGGGACTGGTTCAGAGTTAGGATCATAGAACAAAATACAGGATTTCTGTGGTGTAGCCCTGGTTGGTCCCCCAGAGCTGTCCCTTGCTTTGGCTCCCCTGGTGCTGGGATGAGAGGATGAACACCGTGCCTGTTTGAGATGCACTTACAGTTTGTTCCTTCTTAGATAAACACCATTTCTGCCCTTTATACATTATTTGACTAAAATTCTCAAATTTTGATTTAAGTTGCAGTACATGTACATTTTGCAAACAAGGCCATCTAAGGTCACAGATCAGGATCAAGTAGATCCAAACACCATCCAGTAGAGTTTCTCCAGGCTAGACATGTTCTGTCTAGACTGTCATACTGCAGCCAGGAGGCACATGCAAACTGTTGAAATGTGGCAGGTGATTCAAGAACTGCTTTGAATTTTATTTTCTCTAAATTATTTTAAACTTAAATGTGAGACACAGAACTTTCTGAGGCATTCAGCTGACTTGCATTGCTGTTTGAATCTCCATGTTAAGTGTTCTTTATTCACAACCAGAAGACTTAGGGCTACATTTTTAGTGTTTGCTATTGAACCCAGGGCCTTGTGCATGCCTGAGGCAAGTATTTACCACAGTACTAGATCCTCAGCTCAGCCCTTGAATTCATATTCTAAATGGAATTTAAAGTCTAGCATGGCTGTGCTTTTCCAAAGAGAGTGAAAACCTAAGTACTTAACATTTTTAAATGCTTATATGTCACAGTCAAAACTTATGGGCTGGTCTTTAAATAGTTATTTAGTTGGAATAATTGTGTGTAGGAATTGCTGGAAAATTAGCCAGTTCTTACCTGCATTTCAGGGCAATGAAGTAGCATAGCCAAGCATTGTGGCTCACACCTCGAATCCTGGCATTCAGGAGGCAGAGGCAGGAAGATCAAGTGAGTTTGATGGGTTACATAGTAAATCCCAGGTCAGTTTGTCTAAGAAGAGAGACTCATGTCTCACACTGTCCCTCCTCAAAGTAGTATAAATGTTAGGAAGCAAGATGCAAGACGTTAGTAGAGTTGGAAGAAACAGAAGCACAACCCTGCACACTCCATCACCTGTTCATTGGGCAGTTCTTTTCGATGACCTCGAGGTTGTCTTTCTGGAGTTGTAGCATTGGGCTGGAGTTTAAGTAGCCTTATTATGAAAACATAAAATTAAATCATCAAGCAGGGTGTGGTGGCCCATGACTTTAGTCCCAGCACTCGGGAGGCAGAGGCAAGTGGATCTCTGGAAGTTTAAGGCTAGCCTGGTCTACATAGGGAGCTGCAGCCAAGGATGTTTACTGATACACTGTTTCGAAAAACAAACCAGACCCCAAAGCAGTCCAGCACAAGATTTATTCACAAATTGTGCTAGACTACAGCATCCGGAATGACCCTGCACATAGCAATAAGCAAATGGGCAGAGAATTTTTTTTTTTGACAAGTAGGTTTAATTTCCATCTGTCGCATTTTTGAAGTTTCATTTGGTCAAAGGAATTCCAAAAACTTCCTGATCTTGTATGAGATAGTGATACTCCAGGCTCATTTATCCGACTCAGTTCTATCTGTAGATATTCCAGAACTCAGTACTCGTTTTTGTTTTTGGTTTGAGGATAGGGGAGGGTGGAGGAGGTCGGAAGGGGCATGCTCATTCTTCATGACTGCACTGCAGGAAGATCAAGTTAATGTTTGAGTGTTTAATTTGTAAAAAGTATTTTCCCCCACGATAGAAAGAAAAGAAATACATTTTTACTTTGGGATGTGTTTTATTTATGAATGTGTGTGCACGTGTGTTAGTTGTGGAAGCCAGAGGAGAATGCCAGGGTCCTAGTCTATCACTGTCTGCCTCATTCTCTTGAGACAGGTTTCCTCCCTGAATGAACCTGGAGCTACTGTAGCAGGCACCAAGCCCCAACAAGCCTCCGGTCCCACTTCCCATTGTGCTGTGGGTCTGGGGATTTGAACTCAAGCCCTCATGCTTGCAGAGAAAGCACTTTTGCCCACGGAGCCTTCTCTCAGTTCTGTTTGCTTATACTTTTAATCAGTTGGCCTTGTTTCCCAGACACTGCAGGAGAAGACAGGTTAGGAATAACGTCTGCTTATTGGGATTTTAAAGAAAACTTATTTTTCATTATGTGCGTTTTTTTTGTGGGGACCTGTGCGTGTGAATGCGGTGCTCTGGGGGCCCACACTGTAAAAGGTCTCCCGCAGCTGGAGTCACAGGTGGTTGTGAGCTGTCCCGAGTTAATGCTGGGGACTGAACTCTGTCCCTCCACCGCAGCAGAGCAAACTCTTAACTGCTGAGCCAGCTTTTCAGCTCACACTTTAATAAGAAACAACTTCATGTTCAGTATAAAGATGTTTGAATCTGTGTGTGTCTTCTAGGGTCACAGGGATAATTGCAGGTCATAATTGTGACTCCACAACACAGTAGGATCCCAAAGACTTATGTCAATGAACCAGTTTTAAACTGCAGTGTTATTTTAGTGTGAGTATAAATCACATTGCCTCCAGCTATGGGAAAGTTACAAACTCAACTACAGGCGAAGCATTG